AGGGAAAATAGCAAAAATTGCTAGAGAGAAATTATCTCAAATTTTAAGTTTTAACAAACAAAACTATCTCAAAATTTTTGGAGACAGAAACCATCTCAAATTTTAAGTTTTAGAGTATAATAAATCTTAAAAAAACAAATAAAAAAATAAAAAAAAACTTTTAAATAAATGATGGTTCGTATGAGCATGATGGTCTTTAAGGACCACCACTACTTTCAAAAGCTTTTAGTTTAAGCTTTTTCCTTTCAATTACCATCCGTAGTTGACGTGGCCCTTAATCGTTTCCTGCATAATATTATGGTAACACCTCAGGTACGAGGAGGAGCTTAAAAAAATAATATAATAATATGTTATAAGAATTTAAATTTGGAGAGGTGAAGATTCCCACTTTAGAAAGTTTTGAAATCTCTTTTTCTAGTCGAAATGCAGTGAGTTCTTTTTCTCTCTAGCCGAATTTTTATCGGATGCTCCCTTTCAAATATTTAAGGTAAGTAACTTCATTATCTTGAAAAATAATCCGTTTTTTTAAAAAATGAAATGAAATAATTACTTCTGCTTATTATCATAAATTTTAGGCGCGATAAATTTTATGCGCAAGCGAACTCATTAATTTGAAAAATCATCTCTTTAATAAAATTGTGATATTTTATCTATGATAGAAATCTTAAATGCTGTAAATTCTTAAAAATAAATTTATTTATTTTTCTTGTTTATTGCTAGAAAATTTTAGATACTGTAAAATTATTAGAAATAAAGGTGATATTTCTGCTTTTAGTAAAATTGTGAGATTTCTTTCTAGTGTTTTTGAATATTTAGATATTGTAAATTTTATGTGCAAATGACTGCCTTATTATCTGAAAACTGATATTTTTGTAATTGATTATAGCGTTGTCTGTGAAATATTTATTTACGAATTGGCATCCCATAAATTGTAATGATTCTGTATTCGTGAATTTCTATAAGAGTTTTTCTATCCATATTAGATTGGCAATTATGCTAGAATGTCTTTACGAACTGCTACCTTTCTTCATTTGAGCCCAAAATATTTGACTGGTTATTTTAGAAATATTATTGAAAGTGATTGTTATTAATGGTTTCAGTGAAATTCATATTAATAATTTTAGTGATATGTTGAGTACATGATATTACTGCTTTCGAAAGTTTAAAGAGATTTAAAAATACTTTAAGTATGCAAGTGGACCCATCCGGTTCGCTGGTGAGGTATAAGTGGATCTATCTAGGATGCCGGTAGGGATTAAGTGGACTCATCCGGTACACCGATGAGGTATAAGTGGACCTGCAGGGATTAAGTGGACCTATCTGGAACGTCGATAGGGATTAAGTGGACCTATCAGGACGTTGATGGGGTATATAAGTGACCTACTTGGGACGCCAGTAGGGTATTTTGTGAAATCTTTTGAATTATGCACTGCCGTTAAAGTGTTATATGCATTTCAATTATTCGGATTATACTTAATTGTGCATTTATTGAAAGTGAAATTGTTGATGCATTTCTGTTAATAGATCTCATTTTTTAAAATATTGATATCTTTTAACCATGATTATTTTTAGGATTATGATGATCACTTACTGAGTAGCTAAACTCATCAAACTATGGTAAACATTTTTTCAAGATAACCGCGGTTTCATTTTGAGTGCTCATCAAGATCAACCTTGAAAGATATTGTTGTTGTGTTAACTTTCTTTGTTACTTTGTAAGATCTCGCCATTATAAATTTGTGCTATCAAGAGATGTATATATGTTTTGACTGTCATATCTCAGGAATATCTGTATTGTGAATTCTTGGGATGTGACATAGAGAAAGACAATACTAAAAAATTTTAGAGAGAAATATCACCTAATTTTTAAAGAGAAAAACTATCTCAAATTTTTTTTTAAAGAGAAACTATCTCAAAATTTTTAGTCAGAAAAACTTTCTAAATTATAAATCTAGAGAGAGAAAGTAAATAATTTTTTTTAAAAATACCCATATTTTAGGTTTTAGAGAGAAAATATCTTAAAATTTTAAAAAAAGAAACTATCTCAAATTTTAAATTCTAGAGATAGAGAGTTTTTGAAATATTTTAGAGAGAAACTCTATCAAATTCTAAGTTTTAAAAAACAAAAGTACCTAAAAATTATTGGAGAAAGCAACTGTCTCAATTTTTTTTGAGAGAGAGAAACCATCTCAAAAGAAAAACAAAACTACTCAAATTTTAAGTTTTATAGAAAGTACTTGAAAATTTTTAGAGAGAGAAAGTATATCAAATTTTAAGATTAGAGAGAGAAGGGATCTTAAAATTTTAAACGACAAAAATATATCAAATTTTAGAGAGAAACTATATCAAATTCTAAGTTTTAGAGATAGAAAGCATGTGAAAATCTATATAGAGAGAATTGTCACTTAAATTTTAGAGAGAGAAACTATATAAAACTTTAAATTTTAAATAGAGAATGTACTTGAAAATTCTTAGAGAGAAACTATCTCTAAATTTTTAGAGAGAGAAACTATATCAAATTTTTATGTTTTGGAAAGAAAATATCTTAAAATTTTAAAGAGAGTATCAAATTTTGGATAAACTATCTGAAATTTTTTAAAAAGAGAAACTATCTCATGTTTTAAATTTTAGAGGAAAGTATCTTAAAATTTTTGTGAGAGTACAATTTAGAAAGAATCTATCTTAGGATTTTTAAAGAGAGACTATCTCAAATTTTAATTTCTAGAGAGAAAATATCTTAAAAATTTTTATAGAGAAGATATATCAAATTTTAGATTGAAAAACTTCTTGAAATTTTTTAGAGAAAGAAAATATATCAAAAGTGAGAGACCAAGAAACTATATCAAGTTTAATAGAAAAACTGACATTATAATAAAAATTAATAGGGATTGTATATAATGAAATCATTTACTTTTGATATAAGGTGGTCACAATTCCTTACATATATTTGATGTGAAATTTGATAACTTCGATGTGTGACAAAGTTTGAAAAAAAATTATATAATATAAAACATTTAACAAAACAAGTATAAAAAAAAACAAAAAGCCATAAAAATGTTATGAACCCATGTACCATACTATCATCCAAAAAGTAGGAATTTATTATATAGAAAATACTTTTCTCTGTAAATATATTTCAAAAGAAATAGAATTTTTTAGATAATCCTTTTCCATAGATCCAAACAGCTCCTAAGTTGATAATGCTACACCTCAGAACTTGAGACGTTAAAAATACAGATAGGATTATACACAAGGGCAGGAAGAGCTGGATATAAACTCCGCAGCTCGAAGTGCCCTCAGGAGAGAGAGAGCGAGAGAGAGAGACAGATAGAGACAGCGAAAAAGAGATGGCTGTCGCATTCCCTCTTTAGGGAAGCAATTTATTAAAACACCAACCTTCCATGATCCATGACCCTCCCTTTATTCATATACATATACATGTATACATATACGCGCAACAATATTGTGAATAAATATCAGTCCAAAAATACAGAATACATACTGTTACATCTTCCAGATTAAGTGTACAAGAGCTTTGGAAACCCATATCAGTGGTGGTTGGATGTGTCTCTTGAATCTGAAAGCAACATCTCTGTCAAAGGAAATCAATTCATAACCGCTTCATTTCCTGCCAGTGCAACAAAGAATCGAGTTCTATCAAATTAGAGAACAAGAAAGAGAAACAGATAAAGAAGTGGGGAAAGTTTGAAAAAGCAACTGTTTTGGAAAATATTAGCGATAAAATGGTTCGCGTAGTGCAACTGTAATAACCAGCAGAGGTTTCAGAGAAGAAATGGCCACAGAGACAGAGAGAATATTTCAAGAACACAAACCAGGGAAGTTTGAATGTTTCTTTCCACCAGCCTTGCTTTGCACAATATGAGACTACTCTGTCCAGTCGAACGATGATTTCAGAAAACGTTGGCCTCACCACAGGTTCAGGGTCCCAGCACTCTTGGATCAACCTGAAAGCAGCCCATATTACCAACAACAAGAACATTCAATCCAAGAAAATTTATTAAAAAGACATCTCTTGTTGGTTAACTTTGCCCTCAAATTTCATTTCATTGTGATAAATATCTCTAGATTCTCAGAGATCAAAAGATATTATCGCAAGGCTATTGAAAGAATTCATAGTTTCTATAATTACC